GGTTGGAAATAAGTACTGTGAATTTGTACAAGGTTTATTTCAAGTTTAGTACAACCAAAACCAACATAAATTCAATACTTGACAGAACTATCATTTTTAACAATAAGCATTAATACATTTCACGAATATCACTTTCTTTCACTATCAAAAAAAAGTTCAAAGTTCAGTTAAGTGACTTTCCAAGGTGATCTTGTCAGGTAGGGGTAACTACAAGTGATATATTTGAAACTAAGGAGGAGAGCTTCACCACCTGACCTTCTCAAATGTTGATGTCCTTTGCATATGTGGTAGGGTCCTATGTGTGTACTTAAAACCCTGAAGTGGTTTGACTCTATGGCCACATTTGCGACCACCACACCCACTCAAAGAGATGAAAACCACAAAAGTTACCAACTTCAAACATCCACCAAAAATCCAATTTTGCTCGGATTTTGATAAAATTTGTATTTTTGTGATCCCAGATACCTCCATATATATACTAGTGTGATAATGTCCAATAGCAATCTCAACTTTTTGAAATTTTCGAACTTTCTGCCTATGAATTATTCAAAAAATTCAAAATTTCAAAAAAGTTTAGATATCTACTAGATATGATCATAGAAGTATCTGGGATCACAAAAATTTTATCAAAAACCGAGCAAAATTGGATTTTTGGTGACATTTGAAGCACATGAAAACAGCTTTTTTAGTAAAATGATTAAACTATCATTCCTTGGGACAGAATGCCCCATTTTTTGCATTTTGGCCACTTTTGGCCACTTTTGACCATTTTTGACCATTTACCACCTATTTTTGTAAGTTGTCAAAAGCCACTTTTGTCCGTTTTTGACCGGCGGTCTGGCCAATCTGGTTTTTGCCAAGCGAAACACTGGTTCTCAAAAATACGGGTCCAGGCACCAAGTCGTGCAACACAAAGCCCTAACTTTGCAAAAGTTTATGATTGTCCCGTCTTGGTGCTGGATGATGACTCATCCAGCCACAACGTGACACAAATATGCATACATTTTTATAATGTAATAAATGTAATGTAATGTAATGAATGTAATACATTAGTTTAAAAACATTGCAACGCAATTTATCAATTTATAAAATAAAACAAACCGATACAAATATTGTTAAAATTTTCACCATTTCAGAGTAACGTATTTCATGTATACACCCTTTTTAAGCCAATTCAAAGCTAGAGCTGAAATCTCCTTTATAACGTTAGATGGAAGCAGATGCACAGTCTGTCGCTCGTGAACTCCTGGCTTATATATAAGTTGGCCAATCCTGTGTAATACATATTCATGTGGGTAAGATATGAATTGGCAACTCTCTCTGGAGTAAACGCAAATAAAGTTGGCTAAACCGAGTAAAGTTTGGGCAAACCCGGTGAAGGGTTGGCTACTTTACCCTGTGTAGACTTATCAATACCCCTTACAGTGTATGCAGGCAAGTTACTCAGCGCTGAGTTAGATACATTTCTAAGTTCATGAACTTATTATTACCATTTCTACGACAAATGTTAACCGATGTGGTAGAGACACATAGTGATTCCGCATGGTAATGATTCATTACTACCTTATTTTGAGTGTATAGTTGGGTACTCCTTCGTAACTTGCGCCAATGTTATAGTTTAACTATGGCGCAGATGGCCAAGTAGTGAAGTATAAAAACGCAGCTTATGGAAATTCAAGAAGTATGTTCAGTTTTACCTCGGTTAACAACTATTAGATTTCTATTTGCGTAAAATCATCAGGAACAGATGTAATTTCCATGTTTATAAAAACGTGATTATGATATTTGCAAAAATATTAATTTCTGATTTTGATATTTTTATAGTTTTAAATTTAGTGACGCCAATTGCAAGTTCATATTAACTTTCTCCTCAAATCAGGTTCACCACGTGCTCTTTAAACCATATTTTCATCTCAATTTTTTTAAATTAAATCTTCTAAATTTTCTATAATGATAGAAAACCCTTTGATGTCTTTTGCAAATAAGTTGTGCAAAAAATTTGCATATTCTTCCGAAGAAACATATACGTTGCTCCACTTCTTTTAAAACCCACAAAACCCTGAAAGAAATTTTAATAGCATCAAATTTTCCTTGCAAAATTCTTTCCTTTCTTTATCTTTACAAAATTTTGTACATTGGAAAAAAAATTCAAATACTGATATTCCATACCTGTATAAAATTATCATCGTTACGAAGTTTGCAAAATTTCACAAACTGGCGTCCAAGTTTTCAGTTTGCAAAAAAATTTATAATCGAGCAAAGGAAATTTACTGGATTAGAAACTTCGTCAAAAAACTTTTTGACATCAGAATGGCAAAATATAAATTACAAGTTGTGTAAAAAAAACATGACAAAAATATTCCAAACTTGGTAAAAACTAGAAAATTGTGTATTGTTAAGACAAATTAAAATTAATTATACACAAATTATTTCTCACTCACGAACAAGTATAGCCTTACATTTTTTAATAGATACTTCTAACCTTATATAAAAATTGAGGCGGAAAAAATCATAAAATTTATGACACACATTTTTAGAAGTTCTTGATTTGCTACATTTTTTGACTTTCCAAGAATTTTTACCTTAACAAATTTATTTACTATACAAGTTTGTGTTTATACACAATAAAGTTTCACAAAATGGCGTCAAAATTTCGAATTTCTTTGTCAAAATTTCCAAATTAATAGAGTTACTAATTCCCGGGATCAATTGTTTATAATCTTTATATACTTTTCAATAACTCCTTTAAACATGCTTACTTGAAAAGGCAAGAAATTTGAAAATTAATTTTTCTCACAAAATTTACACTTTCTTGAAATTTTAACTAATCTAAAAATCTATTTAGAATTTGAATTTTAAAAATCATCCAGTTTCACCATACAGAAAAAATTTTTTACCATGAAAGTTTCCGGTTTACAAGATTTGTTACCATTACAAAATATGTCACCTGAATAATTTTATTTCACAGGTACAAAATTATAAAATTTCACGAAAATAGCGCTAAACTTATTTCGTCAAATGCAAAAATTCTTTTTCACCAGTTTCATCATACATCTACAATATCTCTGACTGTACTCTTTCCCTATACTAATTTAATAAACGACTCGACAATGTTACAAATTTGTAAATAAAAATTCTAAAAATCAAGATTATCGTCGTACTAATTCAGAAAAGACCTAAGTGCAGTGGATGCTTTATTCAGAAAAGACCTAAGTGCAGTCGGTGTTTAATTCAGAAACGACCGAAGTGCAGTCGATGCTCAATTCAGAAAAGACCTAAGTGCACAAAAAAAGCAAAAAAAGACCTATGTGCAAGTATGTATTTACTTATGGCTAAATCTTGCCAAAATGATTTTTCATATATATCGCGCGATTTAGCCATAAGTAAATACATACTTGCACATAGGTCTTTTTTTGCTTTTTTTCTGTGCACTTCGGTCGTTTCTGAATTAAACACCGACTGCACTTAGGTCTTTTCTGAATAAAGCATCCACTGCACTTACAATGGAGAGGTGTGAGGTGGCTATCGCCGATAACCACCGGACTAATTTTAAATTGTTCAGGACCAGAAATAAGTGGACCCGTATTTTTTCGTTTTCCTGAATGGGCATGTTTTCGCCCTTGGCGGAATTTTCAAAAACAATTTCAGCCAAAATCAGGATTTTTAAAAATGCTGTAACTTTTCGAATTTTAACCCGATTTCAAAAATTAAACCCAATTTGTGTTCAGAATTACATCCCAGAAAATATAAAAATTCCTTTTTATAATTTTTAAAAAATTCATATTTTCAGGCCATTTCTGAATTTGCAGAAACCCAAAAAACGATAATTTTTTTAAAATTAAAAATTTTTTAAAAATGAATTTTTATATTTTCAGGGATGTAATTCTGAACACAAATTGGGTTTAATTTTTGAAATCGGGTTAAAATTCGAAAAGTTACAGCATTTTTAAAAATCCTGATTTTGGCTGACTTTTTTTTGAAAATTCCGCCAAGGGCGAAAACATGCCCATTCAGGAAGACGAAAAAATACGGGTCCACTTATTTCAGGTCCTGAACAATTTAAAATTAGTCCGGTGGTTATCGGCGATAACCACCTCACACCTTCTCATTGTTAGGTCTTTTCTGAATTAGTACGACGTTATGTATATTGATGCACTTCACGCAATTCTTGGCAACTTGTTTGTACATAAGATCCGTAAATTTTGTAAAATAATTTCACTAACTTTTAAAAAATAAAGAGACGCCCTTGATCTAAATAAGTTTACTATAATTTGTAAATTTGAGCTAATATTTTTCAGATTAATAAATATTGTAAAAGTTTGCAAGTTTATGAGGTTAGGGATTTTATAATGTTACGAAAGCCTGAGTGAATTACCTCATTATAAAATTTGTGACTTTGCAAAGTTTACAATGTTTTCAGAATTCATTCTAAACAAACCAAACTGCCACGTGCAGACTTGAAATTGTTAAATTGCACGTAAAAAAATACGAAAAATATTTAATTCGACTTTAATCGAAACAGTTCGCCAGGATTTTTCTTATTTTTTAAAGCAATTTGGGTGCCAATTTTATTACCAGTTATTATTAAGTTCTTGACTTTAATCGAATGAATTGAAACGTGTTAGATTTAAGTATGTAATTTGTTACAGTTTTTCGTAGAACTAAAACAATTATATCAAAAATTTTAAAGCAAAAATTCAACTATTAAAAAAAATTCTTCTTGATCTTCTTACTAACGCCAATTTATTTGGAACTTGATTAAATTGTAAAATGTCACGATTATTAATAAATAGTATTTTCTTGTTAAAATAAATCTCCTATTTTCCATTTTACTTGTTTCCTAGTGCAAATATTGCAATTAAAGAATCTAACTTTCACCACTTTCCGTCAAAACTACGATTAATGATGTCGTTGGTTATCAAAATTTTGTCATGAATGTATTCCAAATACAATTTTGATTTCAATTTTTTAGAAACACAATTCAGAAATTTTTGATATTATGAATAAATTATTTATTTATTGTGCTAGATAAAACAAAGGAATTTCTAGCTATTAGATTTATTTTTAATATTTAATATAGTTTTTCCATAAGGCACGATGCATTTTAGATCCCACAGGGAAGATTTCAGTTCCTATGGAAAATAGGGAAATGTTTTTTATTTAATTTTTAAAATGCATAAAAAATGAAAAATATTACCTCTAAAAGTGTACATTTTTGATAGAATTAATAATGAAAATCTTGTCGTGTAAAAATTGGGACAGTATGACGCCAAGATCCGACCTGTAGCTAAATATAAGAAGTATTGTTTTAAAATTTTAATTTCCATGGAAACGTTGAACGTTTACATAAGTTTTTAAAATGTGTGTAAATAACTTACCAATTTCTGTCCCAAAGAGGAACGCTTCAAGCTCGAGCCAAGAACCACTTTCTGGGACAGTTTCATGGGCTGCAATTTTTACCAAAATTTATTCAAAACTGCAAATTATAACGGAAATTTACAATATTTTTACCCTCAGAATAGATTTATCCTTAAAGTCCCAGTCAGACCGATATCTCCTGGATTTGAACCCTCTTTTTAACCGTGGATGAATTATTCGGCGTCGTATTCCTTTTCAGAACCCCGACCAAAGTTGTACTGCCGCTGTTCGGGGATGGATTTGAGGACGTGGAATTTGTCGTGTTCGTATTCGTCGCGGACGCCGAGGGGCTCGAGGAACAGGGCACGATGGGATTTTGAAGTTTCTGAGATAACAAAATTCCTCCTCCTCCTCCCGCCAACAAAGTTGATCCGCCCGATCCACGCCGAACGTTTGGGGGCGGGACTGTCCGCGGAATAAGCGGGACTGGTTCTTCCGGTGGGGGCGAGATGTCCAGCATGCTGCCACCTAGAGAAATAATATAATAATATAACAAATTTATTATTTCGCAAATTTGGTACCTTTAGTACAATTTTAGTACATTTCGAAAATTTAGTGCATTTCGCAAACTTGGTACATTTCGTAAAATTTAATACATTTCGAAAATTTAGTACATTTCGCAAATTTAGTACATTTCGCAAATTAAAACAAATTAATTTCGAGAATTTATACATCTGAATAATGCATATCATGAACTCATTAGATATTTACTTTCACTAAATTCGGCGTTAATATGCTACAAATTTGTAATAATATAATAATATATATATATATAATTATAATTATAATTTTATTGAGCGGATTTGCATCGATCTTTGTAACCCAGTATTTTTTTTAACCAAGTTTGAAATATCTGAGATCTTAGTGTCCAGAGTGCAAATAGCCACTTGCAAGAAATAACGACAAGATAGTGGTTTCTTGCAGCTATTTTTACCTGCAAGAAATGCAAGGCAAAATAAACGACTGCCTGCCCCTATTGATAGTTTATACGACGAGTGGTTAGATGGCGTATATTTTTTGCACTTTCTTGCAGTTTCTTGCACCTTGGATTTCTTAATTGCAGCGCTAGACATGTGGCAAACCAAAAGAAAAGACAAATTTCATCCATCTTTATAAAAGTTCACAAATATATCGAAGGGAAGTTAAGGTTATAAATCTTCACAAAAGTTTAAACGTCCAAATAAAAAAAATACATTTACTTCAAATTAATGTAAAATATCGCGGCTCACAAACCTCAATCCTAACTTCAATCTGAGTAACCTGATAAGTTTAATAGAAAATCATAAAAGATGAAAATTGTGCAATTTAGTTAAAAATGTGTTCAATTTTGTTTAGAGGTGTAAAGTTAGCAAATCTCTTTGCAACTTTCCTGTCAAAATTTGCTCAAAAATTTGTTTCACTGAAATTATTAATTTTTGAAAGGTTTCAGAGTCGTATTTTGTATAACAAATTAATTCACATAAATGTTAATAGGTAAAACAGATCAGACGTGAGGTTGTTATAAGTTGTATAGAATTCCATTGTCTGCATTCATTACCTGTTCTGTCCTAACTAACTCAACGACTTTCCAATTATAAAAGTATGGCGTCGTCCCACCAAATTTACAAAAAAAAAACTTGTTTAAAACTTGAGTACAAAAAATCGAGTAAAGTCTTGTCTACAAGTTCCACTATGTAAACTTGATTGTGATTTTGCTTGGACAAAATTAGTTAAAAATTGTGGCATTAATAGGATAAATTTGTATATAGTCGAAGAGGAAAGGTTGGGAATATTATTAAAATACCGTTAAAATGAAAATTCATAAATTCAAACGTTCACCTATTTCCAATTTACACTCTCCATGGCACAATTTCATTTTTCATCACATGCATGACGACTTCTGCGACAAATTTATCGGTCATTTTGTTTAATTTAATGCTAAAAGATCTAGTAAAGACGATGATTTAATCACTGTTATAAATCTTTCCCAAATACTGAAGGGTTATCAAAAAAGTTCAAATTCCCACCCCCATTTTAACTTCTAAAACCGGAAAGGACAAATTTTGAATTTCAGCCTCTCAAATTTTCATCCCGTCCATTCCGTAGGTTACTTCCTTATCAAAAAGTAAATATTTCGTGAACCAATTTTTTTCCGAACGATTCCTACTTCAAGGACGGCACGGGCTTTCACCTCACCTCAAAATATCGACCGAAATCCATCTACCCATAAATAAAGGCTTTTCTCACCACCTATCAGGACTAATGTGTAGTCAATTTGAATTCGGTCGCGATCCTCGTGTGACACTAATCGACAGAGGGCGGATATGTATTGATTTTAAAGTTTTTCCCTTGATATTGTCCGACGGTGAACGTTTGAGGCTGTGTCCCTTAACTCGAATAGATTCCAAAAATTCCAAAATACTTCTATATATTGCAACATATTTCTGGGTTTTCAGAAACATATTTCCTCTATTATATATTTGTAAAAATATGTAAGTTTGTTAGATAATAATTTTTTTCAAAAACATATATATACATTTGTAAATGTTTCAATATGAGACGAAATTTTTGTGAATAAAGAAACTAGATCTGAGACAAATTCTGAGAATTAATTTTTTTAATACGAATTTGATGAAAATTCTTGTTTTTTTGTACATTTTTTCTGAATTATTAAATACATATTTTAGCGATTTTTTTTGTAAATGCATATCCGCCTCCTGCTAATGGAACATGAAATCAAAATCAAAACCTAATTCAGTGAAAGTATGTACGGGTATTTATGTCATGTGGCTTTGCTGTCGTGTAAAACCAGGCTAAGCTTTCACTCTCGCACTTTCACCGCGACAAAACCTGGGATGCTTCGCTCCGACTAAAATCCTGCTGTCCAGGCCAATCCGAAATTAATTAATCATCTCAAAATCCATATATATGAACCAGGGGAAGAGGCACTTAGAAATATGCACTGTTAAAAATCTGGTAGAGTCACATAGAATCTCCGTGCTGGTATTGATTTGATAATTAATTCCTACTGGATTGGTGCTAAATTGTTCCTAAGTGATAAATTTTTCATTACCACATCATTACTGAACGGTAATTCCCGTTAATACCAGTGCCGGTAGAGTCACATATGTACTCCGGTCGATAATGATTTAATACTAATTTTCTAAGAGTGTGGGGACAAAAGCGTGACCATCACCACGCGACTATGGTTACATTAAATTTGTCAAAATCTAATGAAATCTCGAGAATTTGATGAAATGTGATTTAAAAATATTTTTAAAAAAGTGTAAAAAATTTGCGCATTCAAACGCCAAATTTGTAAGCATTTAATGTCAAACTAGTGAAAATTAATTGAAGATGCCAGGATATCTTTTAAATTTGTGCATGATTTTTATAGTATTAATTCTTCATTAATGAAGTTCTAAATCACTAAAATTGTAAAATTTTACAAGGTTACAATTACCGAAGATGGTCACACACATTTTTGTCTCTCTATTTTGTACCATTTTGCACACCATCTTTTACAAAATTTGCATACTTGTAAACGTCCGGGAGAATTGTGTACATACATAAATAATTTTAAATCCATATTGGTATCGATTTGCTACCAATTGGTAACGCTAATATACAGGAGATTTAAAGTCGACATCTTATATACGATCATAAATTACTTCATCCAACCGTAGTAAATGTTTTGGATCTCCTGAAAATTATTGTTACCATTCGGTGGTAAAGAATAATCACTTTGTTGAATTAATCAAAACGATCCTAAACCCCAGGAAAATCTAAATTTAATTTTGCTTATATCCACATTTATATTTTAATAAAATTGGCATTGATATCCGGCAAATTATTTGTAATTTTATATTTGCCAGCTTTCCTTCGTAATCTTTTCAAACCTATAAGGTTACTGTGTTGGAAGAATTTTTGAAACATTTTAAATCTGAATCTGAATAAAGTCGTGAGTGATTTCGGTATTTAATTTGACTAAATTTGGCACAAATCACAGATTATTTGGCATTTAAAAGTGTTATATAGGTTATAAGAATAATTATGAATTGCAAATAACCGATTCAAAATTAATAATCATTAAAATCCAAAGGATTACAAGCATCTTTGGCAAAATTCTACTTTTGCACAATACTACTCGCAATTTTAGTGAATTTCGCAAAATTTATTGCATTTCACAAATTAAAATAAATTGGCTTCGAGAAATTCTTCACCTCAACATTCAAGCTCGTGAACTCATTAGATATTTACTTTTACTACATTCGGCGTTAATATGCTACAAATTTGTTTGTAATTTATTTTTACCTGGATTTCAAAATCTTTGAAAAATTCTACTTTTGTGTAATCTGTGAAGTTTTAAAATTTAAGTTGAGCCAGAGACAAATTTAGTCTGAATTATGTAGCGAAGAATTATGACATTTGATTTGATTAAATTTGACGTTAATATTTAAAAAAATGTTTATATTGCTGTTAATAAAAATATTCTTTAAAAAATCATGCAATTTCGTATACTCTCTTTTACTTTCACATTATCCGAATTCTGGTTTTTACAGCAAACCTCACAAAAACTGGAAATTTTCTCCCATTTTAAAAAAAAAATATTGTCCATCTGTCTTTCCCATCAAATTAAACATAATCTAATGTATTTCAAGTGTCTTTGAAAATGTTTGTACAAATCGCGAATTTTGTACAATTAAAATAAATTAAGTCTGCTCAGACCCTGATCTGATCTGCGAAGTGAGTTGGTATATAAGTTACTAAGTCAAATTTCCTTAAAAATGTGTGCAAAATTTCGTAAAAGTTGTAAGCTTACAAATCTTACGCAGTTTTACGAAGGTTACAAGCGTTGACATTAAAATTGAAAGATTAAATTTGACTTCATTTGAATTAAAATTAAATGGACGTCAATCCCAATCTAGACAACGCAGTAAAATCTTCGGATATTCAGTTTTATTAAATTTGACGTTCATATGATACAAATTTCCTTGTAGTTTTATTTTGACGCACACATATTTAGGTTTCTTTACGCTACTAACACTAATTTCTAAAATAAGCAGATTTCACAAAATCCACCACTTTCCACACTGTTCAAAATCCGTTTCTTATGCAACCTTAACGAAAATAGAAGCTTTTCTTCGCTTTTAAAAAAGAAAAAATGTTGCCTACCCATTTTGCCTTCGTACATAATTTTTAAAATCCAATGAATTTCAAGGTTTCAAAAAATTGTATTTATGTGAAATTCGAGAATATCGTACCCTTGAATTACATTGATAGTTAAAAAAAGTTGGATCTGAATTATATCGTGAATTACTTCCGACATTTGCTATTATTAAATTTGGCGTTAACTTGTTGCCGTTCATAGAAATACCCAAAATCTACCGATTTCGCAAACTCCATTAATTTTAACACGGTCAAAAATGTTTTTTTTATGTAAACCCCTCAAAAATTGAAAATTTTTTACCCATTTTCAAATAAAAAATAAAATATTGTCCACTCACCCATTACGACGGCGTTTTGGTTCATATACAACCTCATACTTGACCCTCTTTCTCCTTTGGTGGATAAATCATGGTCGAATCCGCCCCTTTCTTGGTGAAAGTCGTCGCCATCTCCGAAAATGACGGCGTTTGGGACGGGCTGAACGCAGTCGGGGATCGACAAAATGTGGTTCCCATGGTGATGGTACGTCCCCCGTTTGAGCGTCCCCCCGCCCGTGGGAGTCTCGTAGGCGAGGTGGTGACCCTGGTGACCGTGCGATGACCGAGGCAACGTCCCGCCACCGCTGTTACCCGGGTGAAAGTGGTGCTGGTGGTACTGGGACATTGAGATGGATTCGGCGGGCATGTAGACCGAGGAGGATGATAAATGAGTGGTTGGAAAGTCATTAGGGTGATGTTGCTGCTGCTGCGGGTGGTTCGGGTGGTGGTTCGAGGACGAACAACAGGCCGTGGACCACTTGTAATCCTCCTGAAATGGAGAAATTATAGGTATGTAGAAAGGAGAGAAAGTGAGAGAAACATAAAGTGAAAGTTAGGCATGATTTCTACGATTTTCACGACCTTATCTCGATTAAAATACTTTATTGTCTATGAACAAACTTTAGAAAAATAATGGTCTAGAATTTTTCTAAAATATTCTGGTATTACTTTAAATTCTAAAATAATAAATAAATTATAAATAAGATTTCTCATATTTTAAAAGTTATCTGTGTTTTTATGAAATTCTGTGTAACTTCTAATTTACGAAATTATTATTTTTTATATGCCTATATAATTTCACTACACAGAATACGTTCTCCTCGTTAAATGTTCTCATTTTCTCCAACAAACCTGCTCCCATCACACACATTAACTTTTACTTTCCCAACTTCTCCTAATCACTATAAGAACAAACTCATGATTTGCAGCAAAAAGAGGAAGATCACATCTTATGTAATCTCGACCTCTGCCACCCACGTTGGAAAACTATAAATAAAACGTAAACCTAGCAAAAAAAGGAAAAGCTCTCTCTCCCTCTCTCGAAGTCGCTGACATTTTCTTCTTCGCTTTTAATGTGCCTTTAATTGATTGTACTTTTCCTGCCATGAAGACCTTCGCCTACTTTCACTTCCTCCCGCCCTTAATGACACCCGCACTTTCGCCCAGCCGGCATAAATCACACCATCAATTTCTGCAGCTGAAGTTGCAAAAAGGAAGGGTGCACTCTAAATAATGTGTGGATCCAAAATGTGCCCTGGTGGCGTTTGTAACAAATTTGTTGGTGACAATAACTGGGAACTAAATTACAAGATGGAAATCAACATCTGAACTCTGAAGGGCGAAAATAAGTTTGTGCATAATTATTGGTAACAAAAATCGTTATATACGAGCTGTTTTCGGGGTACTAATTACTCTGGCAGAAAAAATTCAAATAAAGTTTTCATGTTACATTCCGTACTACTGAAATTGGTAACAATTTGCTACCGACGGGTAACTATTTTACACCAAAATTTTTGATGAAATTAGTCGACAGAATTCAAATTGGTAAATGTCTCGTCACCAATAGGTGAAAGAATTGCAGAAAATTCAAATTTCGTACAAATTTGTTATGACCATTGGTTACACAAACTTCTTTCCCAAGAAGTTACCAACTCGGTAAAGCTACCAATTTTATTACCAAATTATTTACCGTGTATCAACAAAAGTTCCTCTAATCACCTGAGCTTGCTGATACTGGGCGACTCCACCTTTTTGGGGTGTCCCACCCCCAGAACTTCTCCCACTTTCGTCCACCTCGTCACTGTCACGTCCGCCCCCGCCACCCTCGTTGTTCGTGGGGATGGCCCTCTTCCGGTGACACATGATGGCCGAGAAGACCACCAAATTGAGCGCGATGAGAGCGACGCCGACGGTGATGGTGACGGTGAGCGCGGTGGTGAAGTCGTACTCGTTCGTGCCCGTCATTCCGGGGGACGAAGAAAGCGGAACCACCGATTCGCCACCCCCACCACGAATTTCCACTTCAACCTCGTTCGAATCAATACGCCTGAAAAAATCAAGAAAATAAAATTTTCTCAATTTTTAGTCAGTTTTTGAAACTTGAAATCATTTTTATCCAAAGTACACAATTTGTTGTTTTTTATGGAAAGGTTTTCCACTCAGAAATAACAGTGAAAATAAACATGTTAATTCGATCAGTTTTATTATGTGAAGTTTTCAAGTTTTGAAAAATCTACAAAAAATTGAAAAAGTATTTAAAATTTTTACATAATCTTGAGTCAAGTAATCGCTTTCTCCTTCTGAAACAAGTTGATGGAAGCTCAACAAATGAGGAGTTTAAACATTTAGGAAAAATTTCACAAATTTCACAAAAATGTAATTCCACCAAATAAACATTCAATTACTTACAAATTAATTAAATTCCACTCTCGCTTTTATCACGAATTTAATTTATTTATAAATTTATGGGTGACTTTCTTCACCTAAAAAAGTATCTGACTTCTTTCACCAGGTGAAAGCAATCAAGACAAAAATAGGGAATAATTGAAAAACCCGTGAACATCACGACAGCCTCCTCATTCCACTAACTTGATCCAATTTACTGCAAGGTGAAAGTAAATAGGAGCCCAAATTTCGTCCCAATTTAGTTCCAAGAGAAGTGTCCCACTTTGACACTAAACTAACTGGCCGACTGACCTCAGAACATGTACGTGTCACGATTCCACCACCATCTTCAAATTGGGATCAGATCTCTCTAAAATAAACTCACTCAATGCATCCGATCCGCATCTGAAGCATCCTTGAGAAGAATTACCAAATAATAGAAAAACCAGGGTTTGGCACGTAGCACACAGAAAAACAGAGAATCAAATTCCAAATTGAATTGTAGAGTGGAAAGAAGAATAAATTGAGTTTCGAATTTTTCATACCTAATTCATGAACTTTAGAAAATATACATCCACAATAATAAAGCGTTAGTATGATCCCTGGCTGCCTGCCTGCATATATGAGAGATTTTGTATTAAGATCTGTAAGTATTTCTCTTCCATGGCCTGCCTGTGGCTAATAATGCAAATGAGGAGAGGAGAGTAGAGGAGACAAAGAAAAAAGCGGAGCCACCACCACCACCACATTGCATGAATGAATGCATGCATGAAAATGTACACTGAGTGAGCAGTATACATACATACATACGTCACTCATCAATAGTGGTTATCATGATAAGCGACCGTGATAAACACTATTAATTAATTATTTTAGTTTGAGAAACTCCACCCACAGCGAGTGGCATATCAATTCGAATGTATTTTTGACGCTGAATCCAACGCCGCCAATGGTTTTGACCTGCGAGGCCCCCGTGACCTTCCCGTGACCGTGGGGTTCAAATATGGCTTATTCGTGATGTCGCATATCAATTCCAATGTATTTTTGACGCTGAATCCAACGCCGCCAATGGTTTTGACCTGCGAGGCCCCCGTGACCTTCCCGTGACCGTGGGGTTCAAATATGGCTTATTCGTGATGTCGCATATCAATTCCAATGTATTTTTGACGCTGAATCCAACGCCGCCAATGGTTTTGACCTGCGAGGCCCCCGTGACCTTCCCGTGACCGTGGGGTTCAAATATGGCTTATTCGTGATGTCGCATATCAATTCCAATGTATTTTTGACGCTGAATTCAATGCCGTCAATAGCTTGGCGTTAATTGTAGAAGTTAAAGGGGATTGTGGAAGTTAACGGGGTTTGTGTAAGCTAACGGGGTTTGTGGAAGTTAACGGGGTTTGTGGAAGTTAACGGGGTTTGTGGAAGTTAACGGGGTTTGTGGAAGTTAATGGGAGCGTGGAACGTGAGAATTTAAGTGGTTAGCTATCCAGCCACTCCCACAGGGGGAAATCAGATTGTTCCGTAACCAGGGAAATTGAAATACAGCATGACTTGGGCAATTTGATGCATGTATGCGCTATGACAAGGGACAAAGTCTCTACTGGAAATTATTTAAAGTTTAGGGATTTTGCGCTATGGGCACACCCCCCTCTGGGGGCCTAGAACCCGTTCTTGAACGGGCCTCTACTCTAGTTACAAATAAATTAGTCGTATCGTCAAGTACAACCTATATTTCGATTCTTGTAATGTGCATTGTCAAATTAAAAGTGGCATTGGAGTTGAAATGTTTCAAAAATTTTTTTTTAGCGATTAGTTAAGGTCATAGCAATCCCATAACCGTTAAGTGAGCATAATTATTCAAGCCTGATTTTAAGAGTAAATATTTGTCTCAATTGGGAAAAATTATACAAAAACTGGCAAAATCGGTGTAAAATAAATGTCAAAAGCACAATTTTCCGCAACCCTGGTCTCCTCACAAAGAAGAGGAAGTGTTCCATTTCTGACTTTCTCCGTTTCAATTCAGACTAAGATAAGACGAGACAATTGTGACAAGAGTGGAGTTCCGGGGGAGGAAAAAGTAGCAAAAGGTTGAAGCACGATTTGGCACCGTGCACAAATTATGTAACTGATTTTACAGCGATAGATGGATCGCATTCTTGTCATTTTGGTTTTAAGACTTGATATCAGTACATTAACGCAATTCATGCAATGCTTGCATGATAACTTTATAAAATCGGTAAATTTTGTGAGATAAGTTAGGACCCCTTTGATTTGAGTAAATTTGCAAAAATTTAAGCTAATTTTCCGAGATATTTGTAAAATGTAAAAGTTTTGAGAATTTACGGAGGACTAATTTACCAAGAACTGTGTGAATTTTGCAATTGTATTTAACCGACCAGGGGAAAAAATTCCTAATGTCATAAGTTTACCAAAATTGTAAAATTGCAAAATAAAAGTGTCTCTTTTACTCGTTCACCTTATTTTTTCTGTTCCTTTTTTGCAGTTTTTCATTTTGAAGATCAAAATAATTCCAAGAACGAGAAAAGAGAGGGTTAGAGCTGTGCACGGGCCCGCTTTTTAAAAACCCAGCCCGCCCAGAACCCTACTGGAAAAAACCCGGCCCGCCCGGCCCTACTGGGTTTTTCTGGAAAAAAAGCCCGGCCCGCCCAAAACCCTACTGGAAAAAGCCCAGCCCGCCCGGCCCTATAGGGCTTTTCTGAGAAAAAGCCCGGCCCGCCCAAAACCCTATAGGGTAGGGCTTTTTTACTGTAAACCCACCCATGTGCAGTTCTGCACGTATTTATCCTAAAAAACCAGCACTTGCTAAGGCTTTCAGAGACTCGATTAGACATGCACACTAGGTATTAATAAAAAATGCAATGGTGGACAAATCCAATGCATATTATTATCAATATTTGCTAAATTTGAGTTATTTTAGTTTAAACAAAAATTGAGTTAAGCCCTTGTATTTAATAGAACTGTATTTATAATTTGGTCTTAATCTCACTGATGTGATTTACAGTTGAGATTTATTTATTCATGAAATTGATTCGTGTAATGAAACAGCCAACCAGTGAAAACAACTCCATAGGATTACAGATAAACAATTCCGCTGTAGCTGAGGCTATATAAAACTACGAAGTTTTGTTTCAAATTGCCATATTGTACTTTATCACTAGGGTAAATTAAAAAGCCCGAAGCCCTACAAAAAAGCCCGGCCCGCCCAAAACCCTACTGGAAAAAGCCCGACCCGCCCGGCCCGACTGGAATTTCCTGGGCAAAAAACCCGGCCCGCCCAAAACCCTATAGGGTAGGGTAGGGTTTTTTTAGGGTAAACCCGGCCCTACGCACAGCTCTAGAGAGGGTTGATACCAGTAAGTTTGTAAATCATCATTGGTAGAAATTTCATTTCACGACGAAGCTTTCCCCATAAGTCTTATATTAATATTTTTTCTGCAAATATTATTTAGGACTCCTAAATTAGGAGAGGAGCGACTTTCATCTTAACTAATGTTTTGGAAATCATACTTTTATCAAAATTTCAAATACGGAGTTAAACCATTTGCAAAAATTATAAACTTTCTGTAATTATTTCAACATTTCCGTTACTACCAACAAACAAATTTACAAATTTACAAATTATCAAATTTAGCAAATTTAACAAATTTACAAATTTAACAAATTTACAAATTTAACAAATTTACAAATTTAACAAATTTACAAATTTAACAAATTTACAAATTTAACAAATTTATACATTTAACAAATTTATTCTAGTAATTTATACAAAAATTCCATTTAATATGATTGTAATAATTATCTAGGAATGAAGAATTTCAAAATTTTAGGAAAATTTAATCCTAATTTAAAAATTTTAGGAAAATTAATACACTATTGCAAGTTTAACTTTTTGATATTTTTTTGATATTTAGCATGATTTATTTAATCCAAAAAAGAGTTTTAAAAACACATAATTTTCATTATAAACTTGTCAGACCCCATTGCACATGGGAAATTACCTGATCAAGCCAGTCAGTCCTTTAGTTACAAATATTTCAACTAAGGTACAAGTACATACATACCTAAAATTAAGTATTAGAGTAAGAGAGCGGTTTAGAAGTGATGCTGGATAATTAATCAACGAATATCAGTTAACATAGCTGGACTTCAGTTTGTTTTTGAAAACAGCGTAGCTTGACTCGAATTTTAGCTCTTCGTTCAAACCATTCCATAAATTTACACCAGCAAAATTAAAAGTATTTAGACCATGAGAGGTCCTCGGTTTAACAGAGCTAACCAGAGCATTATGAGATCTTCTGGTGTCATGATTGTGAACATCACAAATTTTGGTAAAATACTCGTCAAAATATGGAACAGAAATATTTTTAATTATTTTAAACATTATACATAGTGTCCTAAAGTCACACAAGTCTTTGGGAAACATCCACTTTAGTTCATTTTTATGTCTGAAGCCACTGGATCAAACTTACGTTTGGACAACACTAATCTAGCAAGGGACCTTATAACTTTTTCAACAACACCTAAGTATTTATCGTATGTTCGACCCCATACACAAACCATATAGCTACAAATTGACAATACCACTGCCGTACCAATAATTGCTAGCGAATTTTTAGAAAAATATTGTTTAACAGAGTACAA